AGCTTTAAACAAAGCCATAGAACTTGCAGGTTAGAACACAACACTGAACTGATTTACAATGCCAGTTCTATTTCACTCCCTCTGTTCCTCTTTACCACTGAACCTAAGGATCTTATATCACCCCAGTAACATCCCAAGGATCCGTTTGCAGTGGTTGAAATTAATTAACAAGCTTAAAGTTACAATAGAGTTAACACACTTACAAAAATAAAATTGAAACGTGCCATGCAGAAATTGTAACAATTTTTGATTTCAATGCAAACATATCATTTATATAATATATATTAAACATATAAATCCCAGTTACTGGTTGTTTAAACCCTAGAGAATATCTAGGTGCACAGAACACGAACCAAAGGGAAGGAGGAAGAGAAGAACTTGCCTGTACAGACTTTACTTGTTCCGGCAATATAACCCACTGTCAAGCCTCCTCTGATTCTAGTTAGTCCACCACCATACCCCCTTGATCCTCCCTATTCTTCCCTTTACAAACCTTACCATGCTCTGTCCTTAAAAACCCTCTCTGTTTTCACTCTATATTTCACGGTCCTATTTTACAGGATTCACGTCTATTTTTCTCAAAACCCTAAACCTCAGTTACTGATATTTATAGGGGTATAATAATAACCCTAGCCCATGAATGATTAGAGACTAAACCCTAATTCCACTTTACCAATAATAAAACCCACAGAGAAACAATACTAAAAAAAAAATAATAGAACTAAATTAACCCAATTACATAAACAATTAATTCAAATAAATAAATAAAATAAATTAAACATGCAAACAATTAATTAAATAGCCAATTTGACACATAAGCACATAGCCACAAAAATCAACAAACAAAAATGCACATAGAATGAAATTTAAATCCTAATTTTATCCTTTTTAAACTAGGGGTATTACAAGTTGGATTAACCATAAAAGGTTAAGTCCTACTTATATGGATATATATATGAACCGGTATGGGACGGTGTCATATTAGGGATGGCTTAGTTCAAAACACTAAGACCTACCTCGGATCCGAGGGGTATCACACTCATGCATGGCAACACGCCAATTTTCAACTCATCTTCATCAATTGCTTTTCTGATTAAAAACAACAAACCGATCCTCTTCATTTTTCATATTCCCCTTTCCTCTCCAAAGGGTTTGGAGTAAACCCCTTTATTCTTCACACCCTTACCCCATCTTAAGAATTAGCACCCACTCTTGGGATGTCCCCAAAACTTGTTCCTCGTAGGCTTCACCCCTATCACATTTGCCATATTTTGAAAACGAGCATCCTCCGGATTATCCCAAGACTTGTTCCTCACGGGCTAGCTTTACGCTTATCGCCTTTGTCCTATCTTGAAAATGAGTATCCTCTGACTTGTCCCAGAATTGTTCTTCATGGGCTTGTGTCTTCACATCATCTATCTTATTCGTGTTATCATTAACTCTGATTGAATCTCCATAGCACCTCACAATCATCCTCTGCTATGATAATCTTCGCACTAGTCTTTTGTTATTGATCTTCAGGACCAATCATGGGCTCTGACCCACCATTGGCTCTATTACCAGTTGTTGGGGATAATTAACTCCCTCCAATTCATTAAACAGCTGGTTGTTGTTGAGAGTTAAATCCTCCTTTCATCACACGCATAAGAAGTATCATTAAACTACATGAACACAAGTATATATGGAAATAACAATCATACACATCCACACACAACACAATATTTTTCATGGTTCACCTAACTCTAGGGTTACGTCCATGGAGATAGAGATTTCTACTATTATAAATTAAGGAAGATAATATACAACCACATGTTAAAACCCCACTCACTCACTCATAATCTCTTTTGAAACTACATGTATAAACTTGGGAATTACATATACTCTCACATCTCCTCATAACACTCATCCTTAAATTCCTTACATATTTTATTTCTTCTCTCTCTCAACCTCTCATACCTATCTGTATTCTGAAAGTTTTCAAAATCTAATTCCTTGTTGGACAATTATTCCCCAAGTTGCCTACAAGAAGGAGTTACCATAACCTTCTTCGACTCTAAAATAGCATGCATGTATAACTTCTTCCGAAAATCTTCAGCTTTTTTTTTAATGTCGTCTAGTTTCTAAAACTGATTAAGAAACTGTTTCACGCAGTTTTCAATAACTCACTGCCCAAGTGAAACGATTTCACTTTGCCAGTAGCCAAAGTTGTACACTAAAATCAGCAACTTTGAGCATTACAATTCTTCACGTAATCAACACGTGATCAGATTATGTCCTCTTGTGCTCCACCATAGCTCCACTTTGAACAAGGATCTTTTCATAATTTCACCTCAATTAAAGATTTGTCCATTTCAAATAAAGTATAATGATGAAATTGAGAAACACTTTGGCACATTGATGGCACTAATAAACAATGTGTTGTGAGGGTGGAAAAAAAAAAAAAAAACAAACAATGTGTTGTGATGAAGAGTCATAAAATGGATACATTCGGCTGCATTAATGTGTGTGTAGGAATCCCGACTCACATTAATATATCCAAATGTGTCCGACTCATATTAATGACCCTTTATTTAACTTCACGAGACTCCATGTATCCGCTGTTCTATGCTTGTCCAGCAAAGTAGTTTGCTCCCATTAATATATATATTTTTCTTAATTGGGTATAGATGAAGACTTTAAATTCAGCATTGGACCATTCCTTCCATAATTTGCTGTCAAATATTAGTCTCTTAATCAAGGTCTTCCAAGGAACCATACCAAATCATGAATATTTAAACCAATGAAATTAATTCTGGGTACTAACACGGTTTTCTTACAAATCAATTTTAGGTCATGACTATAACAATCAATGTAGCACGTCAAAATTGAAATGTGTCAGTTTTTTAACATGGTTAATTTAGGCCAGTAGCATTAGTCTTCTTCAAACGTCAATTTGAGCACTGTTGCAACCGGTACCTTTAAGTTAATACACACTGCATTGAACTCAAGTTCTTGCTTTGGTACCTTGGTACTCTTTATCCGGAAGTGCATCAGTTGGGGATATCATGCCTTATCTCCATTAAAGGTCAAATTGGTTTCAGATGTCTCAAATGGAAAAAAACAAAAAACAAAAAACAAAACCCGCTTGAGTTGCCCAGTGATTAAGAGATTTCAAAAGAAAAACTATAAATTTGAATGTCACAACATTTAAAAACGCTCAACTAAACTTTTTTTGGGCCAACTAGAGTAATTTTTAATATAATTAGGATTTTTTATTGTGATTCTAAATATATGACTGCATCCATCAAAGCGTCTTGGGTCCAATGATATTACCTCGTCATTCTATACGAGGAGAAGAGGGGTTTGAGTTTCGGTTGGACTAATTAAAAAGGCATTGTATAAATAACTTCATAATTCAAATATCAATTTAAATATAGCAATCTCGTTAGAGTTTCGATTTTATTTTTATTTTTATTTCTTATAATTTGTAGAAAAATATGATATATATATTTTTAAATCATTCATAATATAGGGTAAAGTACAGCCACACCTCCTGAGGTTTGACAAAAGGACACTCAGAGGAAATTTACCTATTTTTTGAACAAAGACACCCCTGAAGGTTGAAAAATGGACAAAGACACTTATTTACATGAGAAATTGACCAAATTACCCTTTTACCATTTAAAAGACTTTTTAAACTTTACCATTTAATAAATTGGACCAATCTACCCTCATGAACAATTTATGCATAAAAAAAAGTTATAAAAAAAAAACTTTATATTGTTCAATTTTTTATTTATTTTTTTATTTTTTATGAATGTCTCAACTTCTTAAAAATGTAAGCGTCTAAAATGACTTTTTGATCCGATACATATATTTCAAATAAATTATATTTTGTTTTTACTTCTTTTCTTTTTATTTTTTATTTTTAAATTAAGATGTTTAATTATTTCATCTAAAAAATTAATCCAATCTTTTTTCCTTAAAAATAGAAAATATGGTACCAGTATAACTTTATGCATCTTAAATTATATATAAAATATTATACATTTCCTAACATAAAAGGGGAAAAAAATAATAATAAAACAAAGGGAAAAAAAATAATAATCAAACAAGGGGAAAAAAAAAAAAACAAATGCATGCATAAAGTTATACTGGTACCTATTTTCTTTTATGTTAGAAAATACATAATATTTGATATATAATTTAAGATGGATAAAGTTAGACTGGTACCATATTTTTTTATTTTTAAGGAAAAGAGATTGATTTAATTTTTTTAGATGAAAGAATTAAACATCTTAATTTAAAAATTAAAAAGAAAAAGAAAAGAAGTAATAACAAAATATAATTTATTTGAAATATATGTATTGGATCAAAAAAATCATTTTAGAAGTCTACATTTTTAAGAAGTTGGGACATTTATACAGTAATAAGAAAAAAAAAAAAAATAAACTATATAAATATATATTTTTTTATGCATAAATTGTTCATGAGGATAGATTGGTCCAATTTATTAAATGGTAAAATTAAAAAAGTCTTTTAAAAAGTCAAAGGGTAATTTGGTCAATTTCTCATATAAAGGGATGTCTTTATCTATTTTTGAATCTAAAAGTGTCTTTATTCAAAAATAAATAAATAAATTTTCTTTGAATATTCTTTTACTAAACTTCATGATGTGATTTTACTTTACCCCCATAATATATGAAAAGAATCATATGCAAAATCCTCCTCACCGACTGTACTAAACTGCCAATAACTTGACTTCACATAAGAGAGTGTTGTGTTACTATCATGTAAAGAATTATAGATTACACAGTCTCTTAGATTGAGAGTTCGATGCTAGTGTGCTTCACCAACCCCCTTACCTACTCCCTCCCCTGTCTTATTCGTTCTCTCTCCTCCCAATTAATCCGCCGTTAAATCTAACGCCGTCAACCCGCACCAACATCTCACATCAAACCCGTTCCATTACTCCCACCACCACCACCTCACACACTCTATAAATGCCCCGCGCTTCCATCACTTCACCCACCATTCACCAATACCCACCGCCCCTTAACTCTATCATACTCCACCATTTTCCCTTCTAACCTACGCTCCCAATCCTCATTCCCAATGGATCTTCTACTTCTAGAGAAGACCCTCTTGGCTCTCTTCGTTGCCGTTGTCGTCGCTATCACCGTCTCTAAACTGCGTGGTAAGCGCTTTAAACTCCCTCCAGGACCCATACCCGTACCCGTATTCGGAAACTGGCTCCAAGTCGGCGATGACTTGAACCACCGAAACCTGACGGACCTAGCCAAAAAGTTCGGCGAAATTCTTCTGCTCCGAATGGGCCAACGCAACCTTGTGGTGGTATCGTCTCCTGACTTAGCCAAAGACGTGTTACACACCCAGGGGGTCGAGTTCGGGTCCCGAACCCGAAACGTGGTGTTCGATATATTCACGGGTAAGGGTCAGGATATGGTGTTCACGGTCTACGGTGAGCACTGGAGGAAGATGAGGCGAATCATGACCGTCCCATTCTTCACCAACAAGGTGGTCCAGCAGTACCGGCACGGGTGGGAAGATGAGGCCGCACGTGTGGTGGAAGATGTGAAGAAGATCCCGGAGGCGTCGACGGTTGGGATCGTTTTGAGGAGGCGGTTGCAACTTATGATGTACAACAACATGTACCGGATCATGTTCGACAGAAGGTTCGAGAGCGAGGAGGACCCGTTGTTTCAGAGGCTCAAGGCCTTGAATGGAGAGAGAAGTAGATTGGCTCAGAGCTTTGAGTACAATTATGGTGATTTTATTCCCATTTTGAGGCCTCTCTTGAGAGGCTATTTGAGAATCTGTAAAGAAGTCAAGGAGAGAAGGTTGAACCTCTTCAAAGACTATTTTCTTGAAGAAAGGAAGTAAGCTTTTTACTCTTTTCTTTATATTTCTTTATATATATTTACCAAAAAATGACATAAGTCCCAATGTCAGTTCCCGCTCATATATACACACACACATGCATAGAGTTAATGGGGAAAATCTTAAAAAAAATTTTGAGTTCCCAATTTACAATTAAATGTTATTGTCAACCATTAGATATGTTCCAATATGAGTGATGTGACAGAAATGTTTCTATATATATATATGTGTGTGTATGTATTTACAGGAAGTTAGCAAGCACCAAAGTGATGGACAACAGTGGGCTAAAGTGTGCAATAGATCATATTCTGGAGGCCCAGCAGAAGGGAGAGATAAATGAGGACAACGTTCTTTACATTGTGGAGAACATCAATGTTGCCGGTACGCTTTTCTACACGTTTGTTAAACGGCTCTTGTTCTTGATGATTTTACATGTTTGTCCTGTGCTATTAAGCTACACTTCTCTGAGGTGTTTGTAATTTTAGTGTTATTTGCATCCTTAATTGTCAATATACACCCAGCAACTTGTAAACGTCACTTTGCCGTGACAAATGCAAAGAGCATTAAGTAACCGCCAAGTCTACCTGAACGTCTATCTTTCTTTTTCCTTGCCAAAATGGACTCCATTAAATGTTATGTTTTGACTTTTGTTGGTCTCATCCTTATCTCAAATCCTGAGAAATTCCTATCATTTCCAGAAGTAACCAGAACAATTATTTACATGTTGATGCCTATATTTGGTATATTAATTAAATAATATTAACTAGGGATAAGATATTTTAGTTTAACTGTTGGAACAATTATTTACGTGTTGATTAGTACATATTAATTAGGGATAAGATATATGTACTAATTCAAATAGAAAAATGAGTTCCAAGGCCAAATGCTTTTAATTGATCAATGCATGCCAAATATAATAGAGTGGGACGCTTCATTTCCTCATCTCTTGTATTAATATGACCAATAACATCTCTTGTATTAATATGACCAATAAGAAATATTCCATCAAAGAATATTGCGTGCCCAAATATAACTACTCTCACATAAATAAAAATAATCCGTTTGGACCATGTATACTCTTAACTTTAATATTTTAATTTATCATTTTATGAATTATTAACATTTTGATGCCTATATTTATTTTATTAAAGTAAACAACATTAATTTGGGTAAGATATTAGCACTTGATTCTTGTTTAACTTTAATAATTTAGTTTATCATTTACATTTCTTATTAATTATTAATTGTAACTTTCTATTACCTTTCTTAATTTCTATTTTAATTTCTTTAAAAGATTCTACATGTACTTATATATAAAGTCTCTATCACATCAATTTCATTTACATATTTAATTGCTTCAATTTTTTTTAGATGTCAAGGCAAACTGCACACAACCTCTTGCGGGGTTGGAACTCTCAACTTCTCTTTTGAGGAGGAGAGATCATACCAACTACCGGTAATAGTTGAGTGGTAGCTTCACACTTGATATAATAAAACCCACATAACCAAAATATAAGAGGGTCTTATTGTTCCACATAGCCCCAAGTGACCACTTTCATTGCTTGCTTCGTGGACCCGCCATTGTCCGATTGATCTTTCTAGAGACGCCTAAATTTAGGTGAAGTAATTAATATTGTGCAGGTGCTATTTCTTCTTCTACTACGTAAACATAAAATCTATGCTGATAATTGAATGCCTTTCTAGATTTTGAGTGCTAATTTTGCTTTTAAAGGAGGTCATTTATTGGTTGGTCCATTTAGGAAGTTACATTAAACTTTATGATATCGTCTAATAGCTTTCTAGTCGGTTTATTCAATGGCTATTTTCATCTCCATCAATGTTTATGACATGATTAACGACTTACTAAAACTTTATTGTGTTATTTAATTATTTATCTTATTGCTACTGATAGCTATTTACATTCTTAGTTTATGAGTAACTTTGAATTTTCATTGTTATACGGGGTTGGGGTCATTAAATTTGGTTTAGTCATTGTTATATGTTATAGTACCAAACCAAACACATTATACTTATCATCTCCTACTCATTCGTTTTTATGGATGATTTTTTCCAAAGCAATGCGATTAACATTCCAATTTACGTTTCCTGCTCATCATATGAAATGTAAAAGTTACATGGAAACTGAAGTGCACAGAAAGTAAAAATTTCCTTCACTTTTAGAATGGGTCCGAGCATGACCAAATAAGTCAAATTTTACCGAATCCACAAATGAAACTTTGAACTTTGAAGGTGGGGAGCAGGGGATTTAAGGTTTTCAAATTAGTGGAATCCCCACCAATCATGTTTGGTGTTTGGTAGGTGCATTGCATGCTATGTTTCCTAGCGAGATTAGGGGATTTAAGGTTTTCAAATTAGTGGAATCCCCACCAATCATGTTTGGTGTTTGGTAGGTGCATCGCATGCTATGTTTCCTAGCGAGATTATTTGATATTTAGGTGCAGCTATGTGGAACTATCATTAGTGGGTCATTGCCAACCAAAACACCTAATTGTACATTTAATTTAATTTATGAGGATCACCAACTACGGCAGATACATTATAGTTTATTTCATCATGATTGAAGTATGTGCATGAATGTGTATTAATATATTGGTGTGTATTATGGGCCTCATGTATATCCATCTCTGTCTGAATATGTACATTTACATGTATGTGTTTACCGATGTATTGATATGTTAGACTACTGTGGCCTCATGTTCATGCTAATGCATATCCCTGTCTGTATGTCATGTAACAGCTATTGAAACCACACTATGGTCGATAGAATGGGGCATTGCAGAGCTTGTTAACCACCCTGAAATCCAGAAGAAGCTCAGGGATGAAATTGACACCATGCTTGGTCCTGGAGTTCAAGTCACCGAGCCTGACACCTATAAGCTGCCCTACCTCCAAGCTGTGGTCAAGGAGACCCTTCGCCTACGAATGGCCATTCCTCTTTTGGTCCCCCACATGAATTTGCAAGACGCAAAGCTTGGCGGCTATGACATCCCTGCGGAGAGCAAAATCTTGGTGAACGCCTGGTGGCTTGCCAACAACCCAGCTCACTGGAAAAACCCCGAAGAGTTCAGGCCCGAGAGGTTCTTGCAAGAGGAGTCCAAGGTTGAGGCCAATGGCAATGACTTCAGGTACCTTCCATTTGGTGTTGGTAGGAGGAGCTGCCCTGGAATTATCCTTGCTCTGCCCATCCTCGGCATCACTTTAGGACGTTTGGTACAGAATTTCGAACTCTTGCCTCCTCCGGGACAATCAAAGATAGACACTACAGAGAAGGGTGGGCAGTTCAGTTTGCACATCTTGAAGCATTCAACAATTGTTGCAAAACCAAGAACATTTTCAACTTGAAATCTCTTCCATTTTGTGTTGTCAAAGTGGGATTGATAAGGAAAAGTCTAAATATGATTCTAGCGTGTTTGTAAATCTATGAATTCGCAAGGTTAATTTACAAATTTGCAATAAGTAATTACTTGGTATGATGTTTGCGTGCGTATAGCTTAAATATTGTAGTGCCCTAATGGTAAAATCATTTTGTTTCTATTCCATATAAATAGAATTATCGCTAACAAATCTGGATCTATGTTCGGTCATTAAATAATCAATTTGATGATCAAATGGAGCTCTTTTGGAAGCAATTCAAGTTTGAACTCTTTCAGGAACAATTCAAGTTGAGCACACGTTTTTAGCTAAATCCAAACCGAGCTCTTCTGGAAACAATTCAAGTTTGAACTCTGTAGATACTGGTTCCTAGGACACTGTTGAAAAGTCAATGAGTCTGGGGTATATCACTCAAGACAATGCGAGGAAAGCAAAAGAGCTATGGAAGGGAGAGAAAGTTAGCCCCAAAGGTAGGGATTGGAGTGATGGTAAGAGAGATAATGCCAGGAGTCGATGGTCTGAGTAGCCTGCCTTTGACCTTCTTCCATTTATAGCCTCAAGTTAGTGAAGGGGATTTATTAGTGCTTATTAGGCTCCTTCTGAATAGGGTAGGACTCATGTAATCATTAAGATTATGCTGCCTTAATTCTTATTCTTCAGGACCATTAGATAAGTGTAACGCTCCTTTAATGACGCAAGATCAGGCATAACGGTAGCGACTTTTACTCCGGTTATCTCTCACTCTGGTCCTCGAATTGGGTCTTGCTTTGCAAGACTTGATTAGCTTTCTTTCCTCCAATCCAAAGTCTCTTTTGTGCTTCCCCTGACAACGAAGTAAGTCTTACCATTTACTCTTCGTTCCGGTTAGTTAGGCCTATAGATTGATGTGATCAAGTCGTCATAAGATTTTGGATCTGTCGATCGACAATTTGTGCTTGGGTCAGATCAAGGTTTGGGGCCCGTCGAACGATGATTTGTACTGGGGTCGGATCGAGGTTCTGGGCCCGTCGATCGATGATTCGTACTTAGATCGAGGTTTTGGGTCTGTCGATTGACGACTCGTACTTGGGTGGAATCGAGGTTTTGGGTCCGTTGATCGATAATTCATAATTGCATTGAATTGAGGTTTTAAGCCCGTCGATCGACGATTCGTACTTGGGTCGGATTGAAGTTCTGGGCCCGTCGATCAACGATTCGTACTTGGGTCGCTATACTCCTCGACCCACTCTTCAAAATTTTATTTATGATTTGTCCTTCCTGCTTTGGAGTAATGATTCGTGCGGGCTACTTAGGTCATGAGTAGGTGACGTGGCTTAAGGACATCCACAAACTCTTTTAGAAACAATTCAAGTTGAGCACACGTTTTGAGCTGAATCCAAACCAAACTCAAAACAAATGAACTGCATGTACTCGATACTTATCAGTTCGATTTATTTACAGTCTTATAACCAATGCGATTCTCCGCACCGAGTGACATCAATGTGAGCAAGCTAGGTTCCAATCAAAGCCGCCAATGGGGGTGTGAAACCAAGGGCCTGCAAAACGATGTTGGTTTGGATTAAAGTTGTAAATTTCAAACGCATGCGGTTTGATTTTAGTGAAAAAAATGAATGCATGAAACGGCACATGATGCCATCCTCTGCTACCATTGTCTTCTTAGCTAAAATCGTTGGAATTGTGATTTGAACGCCCTCACATGGACGCATCACACCACGTAGGTCACTGCTGTCCATTTTATTTGCCAGATAATTACTATATTTTTATATATATTCTTGTTTTTCTTGACCTCATATATATTTTATATTTGTATAAACGGCAATTTTGTATAAGTTAACAATATAAATGTTTAAATTTTTAAAGATTAATTTTGGAAACTTGTATCTTTTACCAGAGTATAAATAAACATAAAATTATTTATTTATTATTTTTTTAATTTTATAATTAAAGATTTGCGTTTGTAATTAAATTATTCATAGATTAGAAAAGAACACATATTCAGCAGGAGTAAGTAAATATTATCATTAAACATATGATCTATTAGAGTTTGGAGCTAACGCGTTTATAGTATGAAAAGAATTGTTTAATATGAAAAGAATTGTTTTGTATTTTATTATCAATTCCATTAGAGCTTATCTTGGTTTCATGCACTTTGTGTTGATTATCATCATTTGTTTTACCTAATTTGGTTGACATTATGCACAATGCATGCATGAGAATATTGGTAACTGATAGTGACATATCACCTTAATTGTTTTTATGGTAGAATTTTTTTTTTTTTTTTTCCCCATGGCATTGTAGGTTGGTAGGAATTGTGGTGGTAAGTTTTTGAAGTTTCGTTTTTAAATGTATTTCTAATTTAAATGATGCGTGTTGTAGCAACGATACACGTGCTTTAAAAAAATTAATGAAAATTCATTTTTCTTCCTTCAAAATGTAATTCAAATTGCTATTATGTACTTCCACCGTAAAGTATTTTATTTTATTTTTTCTAATCTATGTCCACACAAAGATTTATTTTTCATAGTATGCACATTACAATGTATCATTTTATTATTTGAATTTTATAATTGGAGTATTGTTTACAATAGTAGAAGAAGAAATAAACCTTTCATCGTTTTGTGTAGAAAACGAAATCTACACAAATCCAAACCTAATTCAGTTAAAAAAAAAAAAAATTTAAATGAAAGATTAGAAGGTTGATCTGATCTTGAATAATCTTATGGGTAAATTACACCAGCTCCCCTCTAATTAGCAAAAAGCTCAAACAGCTCTCCTCTGATTAGTATAAATATCATTTACTTCCCTAAACAAACGTCAGTGGTCTAATACGGTCAAACTGGTTAGATGATGATGTCAGCAATCTGAAACAGCAGAAGGTCCCTATTGCCCTTTAAATATACGCGAAGACCATCTTGCCCCAAACATATTGTTTAATAAAATGCTTTAAATGGCCAGGGTAATAAAAGGAAATAAGTCCCACAATTTTGAATTTGTAGGGGAATAAAAGGAAATAAGTCCTACAATTTTGACAACAAATTCAACAAAAATTACCTATTTTTTATAGTAATTTTGACTTTGATCGGAAATTAACCGACAAGTGGTCATGGGAATCCACAAAACCGTCGGGTGGATCTTATCAAGTGTCCGAAAGTGGGCAATAGAAGGAAAAGGGTGAAGTGGGGAGACGACCTCGCGGTGTCTTCAAGTGTCGTGCATGCATTTTGCGCATCTCATCTCTGTTCTGTTTGCTTTGCATGCACACCATAGATAGCTTTCTCTCTCTTCTTCTTCTTCTTCTCTCTCTACATCTATTCTCATAACCCTTCAATCCCAAGAACCTCCATCGTCGTCTTAATCTCACCTTCACTGAGTTGACCCACTCCTCTAGCTCACAGATTCACTCTGAAAGTTGAAGTCTTTCTGTATAATCAAGAGCTAACCACACCAAATTCATGGCTTTTCTGTAATGTTTGTATTCATGTCAATGTGGCATTCAAGGTTCGCTACTCTGTACCCTGTATCTCTTATTTTCAAATCTTCATTGATTTTATTCTTTTTCATTTTTTGGGGTTGATTTGATCTTTTATATGTGTTGGGTAGTCGAATCTTTAAAGAGAATTTTAGGGTTTTGATTTGGGTTTTTTTTGTTTGCGTAGAGATTGGTGTTAGGTTTAATTTGGGTTAATGGCAAAGATTTGCATGAACCAAGTGTGCCGGGCACCGACGAGCCTCGAGTGGAAGAAAGGTTGGGGATTGAAATCAGGTGGATTCGCCACTCTCTGTTACAACTGCGGGTAATTTGCCAATTCCAATTCTAGCCCTGCCTTCTCGGAATTTTCATGTATCAGCTGTGTCTGAGTTGATTTCATGTTCCAAGGGCAGTTTGGGGTTGTGAGTTTTTTTTTGGATCTCAATATAGTTCTTGTTGGGAGTTTTTTTTTTTTTTTTGGTTTGAATTTTTCCTTTATTTGGGATTTTTTTATGTCACATTTTCTCGTGATCAGACTTGGAACTTTTCCTATTATTGATTTCTCTTTACTTCTATTTTTTCTTTTCTAAAGTGTTTATTTCCCCAATTTAAAACATGGGTATGATCATAGGCAATGCTATGATAATATAGTGCACTTTCATTTTCCATTTTTGTAGGAAGAAATTTGTAGAAGCAACTAGAGGACTAAAGAAAATCTCAATTTGAATAAATAGCCTCAAAGCATTACCTTAGCTCGAGTGAATTCAACTCAACTCAACAAAACCTTAACCAACTATTTGGGATTGGCCACATGAATCATCTTTCGCCATTCTGCACTCTATCTCAATCCATGTTGTTTTACCAAATGCCTAACATTACCCTAAATGTGTACCATCTCACTCTTTTCACTAGTTTATCGTTGGTTTTCACTGTATGCGATCAAACTATCTTAGTAGTCTTGACTCTCATTCTGTACATACAGTTGTAATACATTGATTTGCTTGAGGAGTTGCAACAATTGTCACATCAGAAATGTAGATTTTCTTCTGATATAGTTGGGTCTTTTTTTGATTGCATACAAAGCAGTGAGATGAATTATCTCATGATGATATATATATATATTTTTCCATGTGTCAAATTGTTTGAGAGATTCCTGTTTGGATTTCATAGTGATTATAATTTTTGTTTGGATTTTGCTTGACATGGCCTCATGTGAATATTAGATCTGCCTATGAAAATTTAATTTACTGCGAGACATTCCACCTGGAGGAAACTGGTTGGAGAGAATGCAGATTCTGTGGGAAGGTAATTAAAGCTTGATTTTCCTTATGTTTTCAGAACACTCTGTTTTTGTTGTGCTTTTAAAGTCTTGTTCAATTTGGTATGGCAGCGTATCCATTGTGGATGCATTGCTTCAAAAGATTTGCAGGATTACCTGGATTTTGGAGGTGTAGGGTGTATAAACTGTGCAAAGAGTTCGGAGATTCACTCAGTAAGACCAATTATGGTAATTAATTATCTAAAATCCAAAATATTACTATCAGTTATGTTAAATTGCTCAAAAACAATGGACTGCATACATTAAATGATTTTTTCTAGGCCATTTGGCATCAGTCTTGATTTTAAATTATTAGTTGTTACATTTGTGCAAGGAGCATTTAATGTGCTACATTATTTTATGCCAAAAGTAGATCAGTAATGTAATTTTACGGGTAACCTAAAGAGTATGAATAGTAGCACTTAGTGATTTTTTTTTTTTTTTTTTTTTTGGTAATTTAACTGCATCCACACATCATCTATGGCCTATTATGGGGAAGAGATGGATGGTTTAAATTATTAGATTTGACATTCCCTGTCTATATCATTGGCATAATTCCAATATTTTGTTGGACCATATTCGTTTTTAGCAGAGCAGCAGGTGATGAAATATGTCTTTTCACTTGTATGAATTTGCCAATGGAACAGTTGTGGGTAAACCTGGTGTTTGTTTGCAGAAGGACTTTGTCTTTTTACTTGAGATATAGCCAGTTTTGGTCATGTTTAGTATGTTTTTGTCCGAATGTTGTTAGTCATTTTACTTGATTAGTTTCCTGCATACGTAGGGTGTAGTTCGTACTCTCAGGAGTACAACTAAATATTGTAAGTAATATGTTACATACTAGTATCTTAAATCCTTCTATAATTTATTCATGCAGATTCCAAGTAATGATATTCCCAGTGGATTTGGCACACTGACAACAAATGATATATGTGATCTACAATCCTCTGTTGGTGAAAATAAAATCAATGGAATTATTGTTGATAAGAGGAGGGTTATGCAGTTGAGAAAAACAACGGAAGTGAATGAGATCAGCCACTTCCCTCAAGCTCAGAATGGTGACTTAAATGCATCTCTTCTTCAAAGGAAACCTGAAGACATCATACGTCCGGTTGGGGAAGCCAGCAAAGCTTTTCCAAATCTGACAGAACATTCAGTTGTATCATCCATATTTGCTAAACCAGACAATAACATAATAATGCAAGGGGTTAAAGATATGTATGAATCACTCACTCAACCATCCTTAAGTTTCTCACTAAGCCCTCCTTTGGGTACTACAAATTCTGCATTACCTTTTCCTGGTGGGGTTTTGGAAGGAAGGGAACAGAGCAAACTTCCTCCTTTTCAACAAGGGCAAAGGACACGCCATATTTTGCCCAAGCCCCCCAAAAGTGGCCTCACTATCGGCTTAGAGGCGAATAAGGAGATGGTTTCTCAGGCGCGCACTGCCCGACCTCCTGCTGAAGGGCGGGGCAGGAACCAGTTACTTTCACGGTACTGGCCAAGAATTACTGACGAAGAATTACAGCAGTTATCTGGAGAGTATCCTTGATTATGCCACTGTTTTCATATTTAATTTGGTTCTTGTAATAAAGCAATCTGCTTTCCTGTTAATATGCATGGTTTTCTTTATCCATTAATTGAAAGATGGTTTTCACCTTACATTTGTTATCTTCAAGTTTGAATTCCACTATTGTGCCGTTGTTCGAAAAGGTTTTGAGTGCCAGTGATGCAGGTCGAATTGGTCGTTTAGTCCTCCCCAAAGCCTGTGCTGAAGTAAGTTTTATTTTTTCCTATTGCTTCTTCCCCCCCAGTAGCTTTTAATTTTCTTTTGAAGTAAGTTTGTTTAAATTACTTTTAAAATTTTAACTTTCCTTTTTTCTGGATGCAAATCACTACTTATAATAGAAATGGAAGTTGTGATCTCATTTTTGTATATTTTGAGAGTTATTTTATCTTTTGCCTCTAATGATACTATACATTTATACACAATTATATATGTATACATTACAGTTTCATCTTCTAACTTATTCTTAAATACCTACCATTGTTACATCCCAAGCTACCATGTAACTGACTCTTTTGCCCCCAAAGCTACTATATGATTGCAGGAATAAATAATAAAAAGACCATCACCAAATTTAATCCTGTTAATGAAGGATACTGGAAGAGATACACTAAATATAGACTAATCTTTGTCATTATCTACACAAAGTGATTGTCCCCAAACTCGAACTTATTTTCTTACACTTGGCAGCCCAAGGTCATTAAAAATAATGCTTCTTATATTCTCATAATAGTGCCATTGTAAATTCATACTACACTTTCTTTCTGTTATGAATTCTAAAATGCCTGTCTGGCCCTAAATCTCAAGTTTATTATACGATGACACCTTTAGTGCATACTTATATTAATATGTTTTGCCTTACGCTTTAAAATAGTAGAAAAAAAATTTAATTTTTTTCATTTCATAACTTCTCTTTTCCCCCCACTATGACACCCGTTAGGGGCACTTGAGTAAAGTGATAATAAGATTGGAGGTTGGCCGCTGTTTTCTGCTTAGCACCTCAATCCATTTTCTTTCCCCATTTTCACCAAAATACAACTGATGGCCATAATTAACAGTAATAATGATGCTTTACAATATGGAAATCATTGCAGGCGTATTTTCCACCTATTTATCAGTCAGATGGTCTACCAGTAAGGATTCAGGATATAAAGGGTAAAGAGTGGACATTTCAGTTCAGATTTTGGCCCAACAATAATAGCCGGATGTATGTGTTAGAGGGTGTAACCCCTTGCATACAGAATATGCAATTACAAGCTGGTGATACTGGTATTCTTCATGCCATTTTTGCTCTTAGGGAAATTTACATGTATATTTAATTATACATATTAGTTGTAGCTTTAATTTTTATGTTTGCATATAGTTGACATTTGAAGGCCCTGTACTTGAATTGTTTCTCTAATAACCTGTATATATAATTGCTGGAATAACATAGCAATTTTGCATTATTGTGCAGTGTTATTTGTCTTGTTCCATATATTGTTTTAATATTCTGTAGCTAGTTGTTTGATTGATTTATTGGTTCTTTTGGTAATTGATCCTCCTGAGATTTTGATGAAGTAGGCTCATGGCACTGCTTGTTTGTTCTAATATTCAAAGCATTTTCCTCAATTATTAGTGGTGTGAACTATCAGTCCTGGACTATTCATATTTTGGGCATGGTTTTTTTCTAAAATGACAACTAAACATCCTCCATGTGTTCTATATTTATGAGTTTGGTAATGGAGCCTTGATTTTATTATGGGAAATCATTCACATTTATACATTCCTAGCATGCATAACTGAAATCTTTGTACTAAAGGAATCTTGATGCATACATGGACAACATCCATCGGTAGTTCAGATAATAGTTTACCTTTTTCATTTTTTTCTCAGTATAGTTCTTCAATCGAGATTGATCCACCTTGCATATTCTTAGTCTTTTTTTTATTTGGTTCTAATTTGAAAATTTTAATTTATTAATTAACTTTTGTGCAGTGACTTTTAGTCGCATAGATCCTGGCGGTAAACTTGTCATGGGCTTTCGGAAGGCAGCAAACCCTGTTGATGTGCAGGTCAACCTTCGTATGCTTCATCCTCTTCTCCATTATTTAACATCCTCTCTCTCCCTTTTTCTGGGTGTGTCAGTGTGTCAATGGGCTGACATAAATAATTTATATTGCTAAGAAACAGGACAACCAAGTATCTGTCCTACCTAATGACGCTCCTTCTGGAGAAGGCTCCTTCTCTGGTGCTAATGAAAACCTGGTTACAGTAAGTTGTCTATGTCCCGTTGCTGAACAGAAGCAAATGTCTCATCTTATTGCTCTGTCTGAATATTTGATTTTGCTCATTATTTTTGGTTGGCATAAAATGAGAAGAGTGGAGGTAGGACAAATGAGGACTCATCGCAGCAGTCATTTCTGATTCCAGAGAAGAAGAGGACTCGAAACATTGGGTTAAAAAGCAAGAGACTACTCATGCATAGTGAAGAGGCTATGGAGCTGAGACTCACATGGGAAGAAGCTCAGGAGTTGCTTCGCCCACCCCCGAGTGCCAAGCCAACCGTTGTCATGATTGAGGAGCATGAATTTGAAGAATATGATGTAAATATGCCATTCGAAACAAATACTTGTTTGTTTTAAACATATTTTGGTCAGCCTTTCTTGTCTGCAAGTTAATAAGTCATCTGTGGGGAATGCTGCTCTACCTTCTAGCGAGTTTAGAACATCAATCCCCACCATGTTTTCCACGTCATCTGTGTGACTAATGTTGTTCATGTTATTTAGGAACCACCAGTTTTTGGAAAGAGGACTATATTCACCACACGAGCATCTGGGTGAGTAACTTCTTAAGTTATTTAGTTATTTTGTCATCAGTATATCAAGAAACAGAGAGAGAAGGAAGGAAGGGAGGGGGTTATGGGGGACTAACAGACTTTTGAGAAAGTTTTGCTGTCATTTTTTGACATGTTTGTTATGCTTCTGGTTTCACTTGTCTTCCTTTTAGAGAACTATTTCTAAAGTTTCAAATGGCAGATTTATTTTGCTCCCATATTTTTAAACAATCGACAGATGAGAAATGAATGATGGAAAGAACCTGTGGCTCTAGACTCACGATCTTATTAGTTGTCCTCTAATTCTCTTTCTTTAATATTTTTCTCATCCTCTCTGGCATGCATTATGGTCCAAGATATTTGAAGAACGGGCTATCCCAAGCTGCCCCCATTACCACTTGTGATGCATGTAAAGGGCCACTCTCAATTCAGTTTCATTTTTATATGTACAGAATTAAGAATATCAATGACCCCCCACCCCAAAATCACCACCACCACCACCACCACCACAACAAAAAAGTAAAAAAAAAAAAGAAAATAATATTATTGTTTCGTTGGAACATCCCTCAACTCTGAATATATAGAGCATTAATCATGATCCAGGGAACAGGAACAATGGACTCACTGCGATAGTTGCTCCAAATGGCGAAAGTTGCCTGTGGATGTTCTTCTCCCTCCGAAGTGGACATGTTCAGAAAATATTTGGGATCCAAGCAGGTCTGGACCATTTTTATTTTTTTATTTTTATCTTTTTCCTTTATTCTTGTATTTGTCTTCCTAAAATTAAATTTTGTGTTGTATGAGGTTTCTGCTAGCATAGCTCGTAAAGTCTCTTTGTGGCCATATCAGAGTCATGAGATCGAATACAGCTCCATCCTTTTATTATTATTATTATTATTTTATTTCTATTCGATCCTTGTTTATGCAGTTGGGAGTTGTACATTGAGATAGACAAGGCTCTAGTTATGATTACATGAATGTTGTAATTTCTGTTGCTTGTTTGTGGCAAAAAAGGAAGTACTTTTTCATACTAATGTTTATGATGTGCTTCCAGATGTTTATGTTCTGCACCTGAAGATATGAGTCCAAAGGATCTGGAAAGCTTTTTCAGAGTTGGCAAGGGTATGAATAAGACTGTGTTTCCTTCTTATTTTAACTAAATTTTAATGGATTTGAGAATTAATAATCATAATGCTTGCAAGTCCTTATATGTGTTCGCTTTCAGACAATGCCTATGTGTATCCACTAGCGCATATTTAGTTGCACGCTGGCTGCACTGTGGATGATTATGCATGCATACTGTCTAAAATGGACTTGGTTACATATGGACTATGTATGTTAAAAAAAAAAAAATGGACTATGTTAAATTGTTGAAGTTGTTCAATTGTTTTCTATCTTTTGGGATTAGTCTGTTTTACATGGAAGCTTCATTCATTTTTTTTTTTTTTCAAATAATTTATTTTGTATGCTGATAATTTTGGTAAGTATTGCATGAAATTCTATTGAAGTAGGAAGAGTTTCATTGTTCTTTAGTTGGACACTCCTGTTGATTGTGTTCGATAATAGGTGTCTCTGACACATTACTATATCCTTCCCCATTTCATATTACGTCTGTTTCTTATGAAATTCTATTGAAGTAGGAAGAGTTTCATTGTTCTTTAGTTGGACACTTCTGTTGATTGTGTTCGATAATAGGTGTCTCCGACACATTACTTTATCCTTCCCCATTTCATATTACATCTGTTGCTTATACCTCACACAATTTGATGTGTCCATGAAGATTAGTATGGATGATTTTGGAAGCTTTTAGATTTTGGCATGCTTTATGTGAATGTTCATGTGTTGCACTTGTGAAAAATAGATGATTTGTATTCTTTGTATGCCTATGTTTATTGTGAAAGGAGAAGTAAGTAGAGGGACTAATTTACTTTGTCTATTTTTATTGTGAGGAGTGAAGTTTTTAAGTTGGTTAATAACTTTATGTCCAACAGTTTCGAAATTCAGATAAAATGGGGTCCAGTGGCCATTTGAGTTGATTCAGAGATCCTACGTCTGTAAAACCCGTTTTTCAATGTGTGACCATTCAAGACGTTTTTCAACAGTTTCAATGTTTGCATCAGTACAAGTTGCTTTTCCCTATTCTTACTCGTGTCACCTGTTGGTTTTCTTCGTTTTATGATTATTCTCATTGCAAATAGTTTTGTCATATTGATTGTGATATTTTCCCTAATGAATCTCAAAATACCTGCCGATGCTTAATTTCCCTCTCTCTCACTTCTCCAGATTTTAAGAAACGAAGAACCATAGAAAGCCGCAAGGTAGGCCAAGAACACGAGCCCTCTGGATTAGACACCTTGGCCACTGCTGCAGTCCTAGGAGACAATGTGGGTGAGTTAGGTGATCTGTCAGTTGGAGCCACTACAAAACATCCTAGGCATCGTCCTGGCTGCAGTTGCATCGTCTGCATTCAGCCCCCTAGTGGGACCGGCAAGCACAAGCCCAGTTGCATATGCGTTGTGTGCATGACCGTGAAGCGCCGGTTTAGAACCCTCATGTCGCGGAAGAAGAAACGCCAATCAGAACATGAAGCAGAAATTGCCCGGAGGAAGGACCAGGTTCCTCCAAGGGATGAATCAGAGATGGCTGGCACATCTGAACATCCATTGCCGCATATAAACCATTCAGATAATGAAATAACCGGGGTTAGAACACAAATGGAGGTGGCTGAGTCCAGCAAGGAACAGCTAGACTTGAATTGCCATCCCAACCGTGAAGACGACCTTCTAACAGAGACAACAGGAGCGAGCATGACCAGACTTGTTCATGCAGCAAGCCTTCCACTAGAGACGTACATGAGGCAGAATGGGCTCTCAAACTTGCGCCCCTGTTTGCTCTCACCAGCCTCTTGTGAGAACGAGGGAAGCCCACCTGATGAAGGGTATTTTGCATCTCTAGTACCAGAGTATGAGAACATGAGTGATGAAGGATAATCTCAGCCCAAACGAGGCTGTTATAATTTTCCTTTTTTCATTATTTACAGGTTTAAAATTATATATGATATCTGTTTTCTTCCCCAACGGATAATGTTATGTGTCTCCACAATCAAAGAGTGCACTGTGTCTTACAATGATTTGTGCTTTGATCTCTTCTGTTGACAGTAATGGGTTATCATATGTATCTTTGACCGTAATTAGAACATCAAGCAAATCCTCTTCCACCTTCTTTGCACCACTCCTCCACTGTTGCATCTTCTCATCAATTTCAGGATCTTGATACTTTCTTACACTTGCAATAGCTTTCCTAATGATCTTCTCATGACCATCCAAATCAACCTGCCATCTCATCCATGGATTATAAACACAGAACGAATACACGTACTCAATTAAGAGTACGTGTATTCGTTATCACATTCCCTCAAGGTGATCTGCTTCTTCGGCTCTCTTGTGGTTAAGCCATCGGTGTCTAGCCGGTGAAAGCACCGCATAAGTAACAACCCTTTTCATATTTTTCCATATTTCACCTAAAGGGACAAGAACTAGGATCTATAGTCCCAAATACAGAATAGGGAGTGTTTGTCTTGAAAAGTAAAGGAATTTTTATTTTTTATTTTTTATTTTTTTATTTTTTTATTCTGAAAAGTCAAGGATTGCGCTTCTTGTTTGAATAGGATGAATTGGTGAGAAAATATAGGAAATTATAAGAAAAAGATTATTGCTATCCCATTATTGCAAATTTAATGAAAAAGTCATCAAAGCTTGGTTTGATTTGTATGTCCTCTGCCTCTCAAAAGTGTAGATAGGGAGTTTAAGCTCTAATGGAAGCATGTAAGAGTATATTTACTTTCAGGAAAAAAGAAAAAAAAGTTCAATGTACAAATAAAAAGAAGGGATTTCGAGCATAGGATCCATGTAGTATTTTTTATAATAATCTCATAAGTGAATGAACCTTGCAATATGAAGCGTTAATTAACTATTTCCCATCATTAATTTATACACATTTGCAAATTTTAGGTATGAACACAGTAGAAAATTTTATACCAATGGAGAGTATACGTGTCCAAAAAAGATCTTGAAATTTGCAAAAATATAAAACTCTAATTTGGTAGAAAGTCTTGTGAAGTTGAAGTAATTAACTACAGAATTTAAACTCTAATGGCCTATGGACAGACAGAGGGGTGTACACGGTTTGGTTTAGATCAGTTTGAAAGTTTTTTGAAATTAAACCGATTCTAACCGTTCCAGAAAATCTAGAACCAATTCTGGAACCAAACCAAACTATTAATTGACCAAAGGAAACAAACCAAATAAAACAGTGAGAAACCGGTTCGGTTCGGTTCGGTTCCACACGGTTCCTATTTTTTTTTCATCTTTTTTTTTCTGTACATTTTTTTTTTGCCCCCTACATTAGAAGTATTCATATTTCAAAATCCAAATGCACAACAATAAACCAAGTTAACCAACACATTCTGAATTGCTAATATATTTAAAAATTTTAATTCATTATTCTTTGTCAATTTTAAAACTGAAGTGGGAATAGTACATTCAAAATTGCTAATATATATTCAGAATTACTAATTTAACAACAAATATTTAGCCACAATTCAAAAAACCAACAAAATTCAGCCACGGTAAATCAATAAAAAATAAGAATGGACCATAGAATTGATAGTTGCTACAATTTTCTAAGTGATTTGGATTTTAGGATTATATTATATTTTATATATAACTAAACTATTCGGTTCGGTCCTAAAGGATCTCAAATCGTGACCAAATCGTATATTTACGGTTTTATAAATTTGTAACCGTGATTGAACCAAACTGTTTGATCCGATCCAGTCTGATCTGATTTGAATTTTCAATTTGACAGAATTTTTGTGAACATACTATGAACAAGAAAATCTTAATAAACATGAACCATAATAATTAATGCACTTTTAGAATAAAATATCTGTAGTAATCTATTGACTATTTGTCCCATGCCAAAACAAGTTCTTTGCCACATAGCCTCACAAGTAGAAGAGAATAGTGCATATTGATGAGAACCTCCACAACTGAACAATTACATATATATTTATATTGATGATATAATTGCTTTCAAGGTGTACTGAAATTAATTTTTGGATAAATAAGAGGTGTACTTAATTTCAAGGTGCAGGGTACAAGTTATCTTCCAAACGAGGCTTTGCGAGTGCAAGCAGTGGTTTAGCCAGAAAGAGACTATCCATTTCCTCATTGAGGTCGATAGTTGACGGCACACTCCATGTGAACCCTCGAAGAAGCCTAGCCAACAGCGTTGTAGTCATAGCGGACCCCAGTGCGATCCCGGGGCATCCACGCCTCCCTATGCTAAATGATATCATACGCAAGTCGAATTCAAAGAGTTGCACGCTTGAGCCATCATCCTTTAGGTGGCGCTCGGGCTTGAACTTGAGTGGGTCGTCCCAGGCATTAGGGTTGGGGCCAAATCCTATACGGCTGAGCAGGACATGACTACCTTGGGGATGAAGTAGCCTGCCACAGTTGTGTCAGACACTGACACGTGAGGAACATTAAAGGGCGCAACTGGAGATTTTTATTAAGTTATTTATTACAGAGGATGTTATATGTTGTTCATATCCAAATAATTCTATGAGATTCAATTACTATGGTACAAGAGTCTTGTTATTATTATTGTAAATTTATTAATAATAATAACAAAACTTGCACCTTGTAGAGATTCAAATTAGTCTTCTATATAAAGTTATAAATTAATTTGATTTTCACAACAAACTGAACCAAACAGATTTGAATTAAGCTTAATTATTTTTTCATGTGTGAGACAGAAAAAGAGAAACTTAAAAGGACTTGTGCTTTGATATCTTTTTCTGACAGTATTGGGTTACCATTTGTATCCTTGACCGTAATTAGAATATCAAGCCAGTCCTCTTCCACCTTCTTGACGCCATTCTTCCATTGTCGTATCCTCTCATCAATTATAGCTTTCTTTTTGATCTTCTCATGATCATCGAAATCAACCCACCATCTCAACCATGGATATAATCAATAACACAGAACGAAAACACGTACCTAAGAAGGGTGAAACACGCCTCGATGTGCTCTTCTTCCTCACTACCCGGTCCTCTATCCGTCATTCCTTCCCCAAAAAATCTCTTGTTGAATGTCAGATATCCTCTTTATCACATTCCCACAATAGTGCTGCACCGCGATTCTCACATTCACTACACCATCGGTCTCTGAGTGCTTGCATTGGTTATGGACATATCAGACAAGGTGATCTGCTTCTTCAGCTCTGTTGTCGTGAAGCCATGGGTGTCTAGCCGTTGAAAGCACCTCAGAAGTAACAACCCTTTTCATTTTTTTCCATTGTTCACCTAAAGGGCCAAGAACTGTTGTTACATATCCAAGGGCAAATCCAGGAATTATTAATGGGGGGCTAATATTAAACAAGGAGTAATTGGGGATCGAAAAATTAAAGAGTTGGAAAATTTTAAAGGAAACAAGGTTATCCTTTAGAGGGAGAGGAAGAGTGAGCTCTCTGATTTGTGCAAGATTAGGAATTTAGGAGTTTTCTGTGCTTTGACTTAGTAATTATTTAGGGTTTGTTTGGTTTAGGCTTGGTTCGACCTTTGTTTTAAAATTGTGACTTAAATATTGAGCTTGTTTGGATGAGTTAAAATTGAGAGGCTAATACTATTACTAATTTTTTCTTTTTTAAAACATTGGGCTAAATATACCTATACTAAAAAATAAAAAAATAAAAAAAAAATAAAATAAATTTTTTTAGGGGGGTGGGGGGCTCAAGCCCACTTAAGCCCCCCCTTGAATCCGCCACTGTATGCATCCATTGCTGATGACATCGCCTGCCATGCAATCAGGCCTTGATGATAGGTTGCATCTTGTTTCTTCAAGAACTCGAGTCCAATTTGAGGACAAGTGACAGGAATGACAAGAACATTTTCAAGACGGAGATAAGCTATGTCGGTGTCATGTCTTTCATGAGCTTGTGTATCCATCGAAATGTCAGCTTGTTGATGACCACTTCTGGGAGGTTCCCAAATACAGGCCATGGTTTTGGGCCAGGAGGCAGTGAGAGATTATGATGACTAACCTTGGTCTTCTTGTTGCCCCATGTTTGGTAATTAACAAGGAACAAGAAAATGAAGATCGTGAAGAGAAAAATAACATTAGTGGTTGAAAAGTCGAAGAGAGTGGATGGAAAGCCATGCAGGACATATCAAGTCCTGTGCCATGGAAGAGGCTTAGTGTAACGGGTGGACACTTGTCCATTTATTCAAAAACTTAAACTATTGAGTAGCGCTACATACCCACTTATTTATACCCAATTACTTTCCTATCCGGATCCGATGTGGGACAAATAACCTTTGATCCGATGTGGGACAAATGACCTTTGTAACATTCTCCTCTACCCAAACTCGCAACACCCTCGTTGCGGTCGAGCCACCCTGTCTACCCAAGGGTGGCTCACTCGGACGCCTTCCGGATCGGGTGCTTGGAGTGACACCGGATCACGGACTGGGTCTGGTTCTGGCTCTAATACTAACTGTAACGGGTGGGCACTTGCCCATATACCCAAAAGATCGAATTATTGGATAGTGCTGCATACCCACTTATTTGTACCTAATACTTTTCCATCCAGATCCGATACGGGACAAATGATCTTTGTAATACTTAGGTATAGGAAGAGATGGCTAAGGTAGAGTTCTTTATGGTCATTACTGAATAACACTCGTAATAAAACCATTACTACTAATCTATACTTTGTTATTGTGATCACTGATCAACATGTACCTTTTATATAACAATTGCATTGAGGATTTTTTTACGTCGGTCCAATCATAAATGCATAAATAGTTCATAATTATAAAATGTGGTCCAATCATAAGTGTTATTATTAATTATTATTTTTTTAATTTTGTAATTAGAGATTATTTGTGTATTTGTACTTGTACCACATCATGAATTAGTAAGGATAATTTATTCATCGGTGAGTAGGCAAGTCTTGTTTATTTATTTATTGAACCTACCAATGAAAATGAAAGAGATAAAAAATAGAAAAATAAATTGGGGGCACCCTTTTAGCTGGGCAAGTCTTGTTTATTTATTTATTGAACCTGTCAATGAAAATGAAAGAGAAAATATATATATATATATATATATATATATATATATA